TGACTGGCAACGCCAGCGTTAATGCTTCTGATTGAAGCAGCGGAGTCGAGGTCGAACTTGGTTGCAGAGCAAGTGAAAGACTGGTGTCATCACCTGAACCAAGCAAACGAAACGGGTCGTCTAACACCAGCGACGTGGTCAATGCGTTAGAGTGGTCGACGGACAAGTGGCTGCCCGCACCCGCGGACGCAGTCATGTTCTCAGAGTTGTACAGCAGCCAAGAGAACATGTCACGATTGGTGGCGCCCATAAGCTCCATATCGGCCGTGACATCGGGGCTGGGTGCGGTAGTTAAAGTCGGTGAGCGGGGCAATGAGCCAATTTCTTTCATCTCAAATGCTTCGTGTGTGGTGGTGACGCGGCTTCCTCACGGAAGGCGTTCAGACGCCTGGATCGTTCTCAGTAGGTACTATTAATACTGAAGTACAAGTAGTAATAATTTGAGCACCATTGCAGTGCAGTCAGTGGTGCTTGTACACGTTCGGGCATGAGAGAAGTATTCTCTGCCATTTCGTGACATTGGCTACGTGGCGGAGGAGGGAAAAATAATACCACTATATATATCACGCTCTTAGTCCTTCTGTATCTGGCGGCCGATATGCGTGAGTCATGATGACCGCTTCATCATCAAAAGCTGGTGCAGTTTGTATTGAAGAGTTAAATGTTCGATACTTTTGTGCGGGTTTTAACAGAATCTCGCGTCTTGATACATGAAGTACATTCTATGTTCTTAGAATTCGGTTTCACTAGACTGAGACGCTTCGCATCAAATGTGAATCTTTCTTAGTCTTAAATGAAATATGCGGTACATGTGCGATATATATTATGCTAGAAAAATGCAATAATTTAAACATGCTTTTCTATTGGAGCTAATTTCGAATATAAGGCGCTTATTTGTATTCTTATAAAAAGGTCAGATCTAATTGAAGGGCTTGGGAAACAGGTTTTGCAGTCCAGCAAGGCCAAAAAACTTGAAGGTAGCATAGTAGCATCACTTTCAATAAACACACTGCTTTTACTACACTCTTCATCTTTTCCAAAAATGACAAAAACGTCAAGAAATAATCAAGTTAAAATAATTCGTGTTGTAGATTATTTATATCTAGTCCTTTATCATTACGTCAAATTCATTTCGATAAGTTTATTGTCAACGATATCAGCCAAAATTTACAGTACAGAGAAAGCAAGCTACAGTAGAACCTGTCTAAATTAAACCTGTTTAATTTAAAACCCTCTCTAAATTGA